TAGGATGGATAGAAGAGGTTTGCAGTAAAAACAACAAACAAATAAAAAAAACCCATCAAATGCCATCAGCTTTATGAGTTTATCTCACTCCCATAGGTCTGCTGGTTCCCACACTGAAAAAGAGCTAAGGGAAGGAAGAAGCCCATGGCTATAGATACTGTCTCTGCCTGGGTCATTAAAACCAATACTGCACCAAAACGGATTAGAAAGAAAGCCGGACTGCTGGCTGCAGTTAGGGGAGCAATTCTGATGTGAGATCACCAGTTCCTCCCATTTTCACAGCACTTGACTTTTTTTTCCCCAAAAGCTTTTCTGTCCATTCCTGTTCGTTTTAACCAGATTCTTAATCTCTCTCGGAAGCGAGCAGGCTCGTAAAGCACGGCTCTCAGTGTCTTTGCCTTTCTTTGTCTCTTCTTCTTCTTGCTTTTATTAAACCCTTCTAGACTTGAAACTATCTCTACGCTCTCACTGTTTTTCTTTTTTGTCTATTTCCTCATTTCCTCAACCCTTTATGAAGTTGTCACCTTTCTTTAGTTGCCTCTAGGCTTGATTTTATTGTCTCCATCTTTGTCTTTCCAAATTCCATGGCTGTGCTTTGGGAGTCTGACCTTTTTTCTCCACACATTTCGCTGCCTCTGAATTTTTTATTCCACAATGAAGGCTTCCACTATGCTGCTACTCACGTGTTGTACACAGCCTTGTCCTGGCAGGGATTCTAAACATCTCTATATACATACATACATACATACATACATACATACCCCTTAGAGACAGACTGCAGCCTCCACATGGCAGCTTGTAAGATGGAGCCTCCTGCTGGTGGCCTTTGCCTAAGATATCCCTTTAGTAGTGAACCTGGCCTTGTCTCATGGCACCTGGCTTCTGACTGTGCACTGAGAGTGGTGGTGGAACACATGGCTGCGCCCGCCACAAAATAATGCAGGATATGAGCAAAGTGGCATTCTCTCTCTCTCTCTCTCTCTCTCTCTCTCTCTCTCTCTCTCTCTCTCTCTCTCTTTCAGGACTTGAAATAAAAAGAAATCTGTGGTCTGAGAGTTAGGAATCTAAATTTCAGTTCAGAGAAGTCTTAAGTCATAGTGAACACTAGCATACAAACATCTCCGTCTGTCTGGCTAGCAAAGGTTAGGCCTCAACGAGTCTGGTTGTATGCACTCATCTGCTTCAGAATTATCTTTAAAGCATTTTACAAAGCAATCCAGGTTGTTCTTTTAGAGGTTTTCAAGGAAGGAAATGGGAAACCCTCCTTCGGCAGGTGTCAGGTGTGGTCACATGGAGAGGAGGAGAACAAAGCAGACCCTGTTGTCACGTGTACATGCTGTAGCCAGTACAGATATGGATATCTCGGGGTAGGCTGCTGTCAAGAAAGGAAGCATATGGCAGGACGGCTGGTGGAAGTGCCTGCTGGCTACTCTCTCTCTAGGCTGAACCAGAAATTACTTGGAAAAAAAAGGGGAGCAAGGAGGAGGAAGTGAGAAATGACAACTGCCTTTGATGGTGGAAAATTTGATGGCTTCTGTGTCTGGGCAGACACAGTAGCCCCTGCCTCTTCTCTCTTCAGGATTTAAGAGCTTTGTGCCTGTTTGGGTCTTCTATTTGAATTAAGTTAATCCCTATGAAATAGATTAGAAACAGGCACATTTGATAATTTCTCATGGGTCACACACTCAAGTAGTCACCACGAGAAATCAACCAGCATCCAACATGCGAGGAGCTTATCATTGTAACTGGTACCTGATAAAATGCCCATATTAAAGATGAGGCAGAAGAATTATGCTTGTCACAGGGCTGAGACATGTAGGTCAAGGTACCAGGTCCATTCCCTGACTTACTCTTCCCAAGCATCCATATGTCTGGGACTATAGTTGACCCTTTCTTAGACAGGAAAATGCTTTTGTAGCTATCTCTGAAGATGCTCCCTGTTCTTCAGTGTCCCTTCAAACTCCAGTTCCCATACCTTGTCTTCAGTGATGTTCTTTATTCTTCCTCCTAATTCCTCTTACAAGGCTTTGTGTGACTACTCGGGAAAACTTAAGCCTTTCTTTGAACACTGCTTTAAGAATTACATTTTACTTTTATTCTTCAATTGTGCTTGTCATCCCGTGTGTTTATAATTTCCTTCCTCAAAGGGAAGGGGTAATTTATTTGTTTTTTTCCCCTTTTGGATTACAAGCAGCATTATTCTATCCATCATGATACTCAAGACACTTTGTAAACTGTTAAAATTATGGGAAGCTAGTTTTGTAAAATCTCAGCTTTAAGTAATAGCTCATCTAGACAGTTCTTCAATTTCTTTCACAGACTCTCCAGTGAAGTTGCCTTGAGCTTTGAACACCTGAGCAGTGAAAAGAACTGAATTGAAGGCTAAGACTGTGCCAGCTTACACAGAAGCTGCCAATCACTTCTTTTGCTCTTGACTTCTCTTTCAGCTCTTCCTTTCCCTTGCAACTCTGCATTGGCCCTCACAATTTTCTTCCCAAATCCTTTTCTCTCTGATATAATTTCTATCGTCTTTAGCTGCAGCCCCCAACACACTCATCTCATAGCTTCCACAACAGACACCTGATTGACACCCCTGTTTCACACCCTTCCACATAACCTACTTTCCATACGCCCTCCAGTGAGGCTGAAAATGCAATTTATTCATTGCATACTCCCCTCCTTGCATGATTTAAGAGTTTCCTATGCTAGCTAGAAAACAGATGTGGTCTGACACAGCCTCAGGCTAGGCCTCGCATTCATCTCCTGTCATTATTCCTACTTAGTCGTCCTCCTCAACACTCTCATTTCCTGAAACAACAACTTTGTTTTTTTCTTAGAATAATTATCTTCCACTGAAACCATTTCCAGTACTAACTTCTACTTATCCAGGTATTAGCTAAGTGATACTTCATATCAGCAGTTGATTCTAAGCCATGCTATTGTTATCTAACCCAAGAGAGGCTCATTTAAAACTCTGCTCAAACCACAGTAGACTCCATTGTTAGTTGCTTAAACATATAAGGCACCTGTGTCAGCTGTAGCTAAGCACTAAAGGATCTGATGTCATGGTGTTTCATTTTGAATCATAGCCTTTACAAGCATGTTGCCTGTGGTGGTTTGAATAGGAATGTACCCCATATGTCTATGGATTTAAATGCTTGGTCAGCAGGGAGTGGCATTATTAAGGGCTGTGGTCTTGTAGTAGCTGTGTCCTTGTTGGAGGAAATGTGTCACTAAGGATAGGCTTTGAGTTTCAAATTCTCATGCCAGGCCCAGTCTCTCCCTCCCTCCCTCCCACCACCCCCCCCGCCAGCTCATCCAGATGTAGTACTCTTGGCTTCTTTTCTAGCACTATGCTTGCCAGAGCACCACCATGATTCCTGCCCCATTGAGAATGGAATAAACCTCTAATCCTAAAAGACTTCCCCATTTAAATGTTTTCCTTCATAAGAGCTGCAGTGGCCATAGTGTTTCTTCACAGCAATAGAACTTTGACTAAAACAGTACCTGAGAAGAGGGAGGTGCCCAGAGACCATGCAACAATACCAAAGGTAAAGGCTTCCAAAGAATTCACATTTCCATTACCATTCTCTAAAATGGGAGATGAGGAGGTATTACTGAATTAAAAGACAAGAGTCAGACTTATACCTGATTTTGAACCCTGCTTCTCAGTGACTCCAGTCACTCAAATTTTTGGCACTAACTTTTGAATAGAAAAAGGGAAAATGAGGTTAATCAAAATGATTCTAATTCAACAAAGTTGTGTTGTCTGTGATCTATACTTTTTATTTAAACTTTTGCTTCCCACTTGGGGAAGGAAACCAACAGGGCTTCACAGATTAATAGATGATAGAGTGCTGAGATCTTTGAGGCATATGCTGAGTTTATGTTAATGGCAATTGTCATTAATATCAAAATAATAGTGGTGAAATAATCAGCAAAGTTATAATGAGAACTAATGGTGTTTGTAGTATCAAAAACAGAAAGGATGAGTTTAACATAGGCTAATTCTTAATGAAAGATGGCCACGGCATCCCACCACAATGGCTGTTTCTATTAAAGAGATCGTGGAAGGGGTGATGATATATTGCTGCTGATTCCTATGCTATCTATAGTGATAAGGTGGACTCTGCTTGTAATAACAGCTTACTCCCTTTCAAGAAGGCCATCTAAAATTATGTGGCCTTTTGCTATTTTAAGAAAGCCTACTTTTCCACATGGATAGAGTCCTCTCACTCTACCCTCACAGACTTTTTTTGGAAAGTGTAAAGAAGTTCCAACCCAGTTCATCCTTCCTGAATGACCTCGATGTCCTCATTGTTCAAGGAAGCCTTTCATGTCAGCTAATGCTGAGTCTTTGTATAACCCAATCAAACAAAGCCATTGTTCTTTTCTTTCTCATTGACTGAATATTTCTTTTAATTACCCATGAACTGCTGAATAACTGGCACAGAAAACATCTTTATCTTGTTTCTAGGGTAAGAAAAGATTTCTAAGTAGCTCTGTTGAGATGTGAGGAACATGCGTATCCATGTGCTAATAGACAAATAGAGAGAGAGAAGGTGGCTAGTGATGGAAAAAGGGGTTTTAGGAGCATTGGGGAAAATGTTAAAGCAGAATGTTTCTAGGTGATTTTTAAAATAATTTTTAAGTCACTAAATGTCCTTATTTTTGAAATGTCAGAATATCATCTATAGGATACTTAGCTTCTAATAGACTGGAAGATTATATTTTTAAAAAATTCCATTAGGTGTACTAAGAGGATGATTTAAGATTGAAATTAACATATATGCATAGACATAGAAAAATAGAAGGACAGAATAAATTTTAAGTCAGTGGAAAGGTACCTGGCAGAAATATTTTGATGATTTCTAACTTTCCTTTGAGGGTATTAGCAACATACTAGGCTCTGTTGCATCCTGCCCGTCCTTCCATCCTCCCCTCCCCCAGCACAGACTGCCGTGGGGACTCTAACTGTGCAAGAGGCATCTATCCCATACCTGAAGGTCATCTGGAAGACTTGGCCTTGATTTACATGCTGGGTCCTGTTGTTGTAACCATGTAGCATCTCTCCAAAGAGGGTGTCATTGAATTTGGAGTCAGGTTTGAGGCACTTGGGTCCCTCGCAGACATCTGAGAGCATTAGACAGGACTTCCCATCCGGAGCCAGCTTGTATTCTTCCACACAACTGCATAATAAAACAGTCAAGAGTTAATTCTACATGCTAGCTGCCTCCATTGGAGGTGACCTAGAACCAGGGCCTCCTTTGCCCCAAAACAGGTCATAGTTTAAGTACAGAGACAGCTATTTTGGCTGAAATCTATCTAGGGCACAGGTGTCTGGAGAGAAGCACATTAATCCTGAAATGGATAAATTCAAGAAAAGTCATTTGTGACATTTTAAAGGAGTCGAGGGGGACACTGGCATGCACATCCACACATAAAGGAGATTTAAAAGCAGTTTTCCATGAACACACAGATTTAAAAAGTTTGACAGACAAATTCAGAGGGAATTATCAACTAGTTTCTCAAATAAGAATCTATTCCCAGTGTATCTGTCAACGGAGGTTGAATACTGTAGGAAAAATTAAAGTTTATATTGCCCTTGTAACAAAGGTGACCCATCAGGATCATGGACAGTACGCGTAGTTAGAGAAACAACCTCTGCTCAATTATCAGTGCTAGTAGTCTCCCCTGGTCTCTCGGTGTCTGACAGCCAGATGAGCCCTTGGCATGTCTTTGAAGCAGGGATGGGCTCCTTTGTGAACCAAAGAGACATCTGAATAGAGTGGAAATAAGGTTTCCAATTTAAAGATGTATGCAGTGGAAAAGCTTTTTCTTACACGATGGCGCACTGCGGTGGAGGAGAGAAAAGGGAGGGAAACGGAAGTCTCCATACCTGAAAATTTACACAGAAACTAGCAATAACTGGATATATGTGCTTTCTTGATTCTTTCGTAATTATATACATAGAGTACCTGTGCATAAATTAACCATCAGGCAAGAGAATAAGCTGCATAATTGGAAAGACTCAGACAAATGTATTGTTTACTGCTTGGAGGCTGTGAGCATGAGAAAGTCACTGAGTTCTTTGGTTCCCAGATAGATTTCAATGATGCTATCAAGTTCATTACTACTGTAGTAATCATGGTGTGCATCTATGTATAAGCCTGTCCTACTCACTAGGCAATTCATAGATCCATTTTAATGCAAAGAGTAAAATTAATATCAACCCCCATGTTGAGCACATTAGCAAAAGAAGGATTTAAAGATGAAGTATATTTTAATCTGGGGCAAAGTTGTCTTTTAAGTTCAGGTCTCTTTAGTAGCCAAGTATCTTCTGTAGGCATCTTTTGTATTCCCTAAATCTTGTATTTGCTAGTTACAACTGAAGTTATAAAGTTACATTTGAAGAATCACGCAGTGATTAGAGACAGTGGAGATTACATAAATTGGACTCTAAGATGACTCAGGAACTCATAGGACAAGTTAGTCTCTGTGGAGTTGTTTGGATGGAAAATGCAGCCATGGTGTTAGAACTTGCAGCTGATGGATGCTGGACAATGTAGCTATGTTCCTATAAGGTAGTTGAAGGCACTGCCAACCTGACTCAAGACCACACTGGTGAAAAGTCAGGATATTCTCATGCATAAAACAAGCTGTCACTCTTTTGTGACTTCCTTCTGGTTGTTCAGTGTGCTGTGTTGAAACTTGGTTACCTTTCCAGAGGTCACAATTTCCTCTCCAAAGTACAGCAGAGGGCTGCCAGAAGGAGGCCTTGTCCAGCATTATTTATTTATTCATTCATTCATTCAAGATTTCTGTCTCTTCCCCACCGCCGCCTCCCCTTTCCCTCCCCCTCCCCCAATCAAGTCCCCCTCCCTCGTCAGCCCAAAGAGCAATCAGGGTTCCCTACCCTGTGGGAAGTCCAAGGACCACCCACCTCCGTCCAGGTCTAGTAAGGTGAGCATCCAAACTGCCTAGGCTCCCACGAAACCAATAGTTCTTGAAGTCAGTTCCCCACCCGCCATCTTTCCCATATCTGTTAGGTACAAGTAAAGCCTGCTCAGAACAGTTTCAACACAGCTGATCTGCATAGATACCACAGTGCCGAGCATTTAGCAAATGTTTCATAATGTCAAATAGCATCCAGGATCCCAGTAGGGCCCCAGTCAATATGAAGAAATGGTTTACTTAGTATAAACTGGGTAAGATACTTCTCTATCTCTTTCTTTACCCATTCATATACACAAATGCCCGTGCAACTATGATTAAATATATACTTGCAGTAAATGTATAAACAGAATCAAAATGTGTAAAGTAAAATGTGGAACTTTATTTTCCTACTCCATACTTCCTGTACAACTGTTGTCACTATTATCTGTTATATATCCTATTAAAACGTTTCCAACTCATTTAAATATGCATTTCTATATAAATATCACATACAATATGCATAGATATATAAACAAAAACATAGTTAATTATATACATAAAAGTTCACAACACATTTTTCTAAGATGCATTTGTACCTAATGTTGCTTGAGATCTTTTTTCAAGCCAGTGACTTATGGATCTGTCTTTAAAATGGTTATTTGGCACTGTACAATACAAACATTCCATAATGCTTTTAACTAATTTTTGTTGATAAGCACTTTGGCCATTTGTAGCTATTTGTTATTTCAAATACTGCCAGAATGAAGATCCTTGTAGATAAATCACTGTACATATGTGTGTATTTTGTAAGACAGATCCTTAGAAGAGGGATTGCTGGGTCCATGGTTTATGAATTTTAAATTTTTGATAGATCTATTAAATGGCCATTGGTAGACGCTCCTTCAGTTTACAATCCCATCATTGATGAATGAGGGACTTGATTTTTCTCCATTATCCATGTTCATTGTTGGCACTCTCTGATGGGAAAAATAACTCACTCCTCTTTGGATTTTCATTTCTCAGATGTTGCATTCTTTCTTTCTTTCTGTGGATGGTACTTATTTTATGCATTGACAATTTTCCTGGTATTGTACCTTCCCCTTACTCCTTGGTCTGTAATTGTAGTGTGTATTTTCTGGATGGAACCTCTTTACTGTCCATATGCTTTCAAACTTTCTTCTACTCTAGGCTTCTGTTTTAATCTTGATTTTGATGTTACAGAACCCCTGTTAACTGAGATTTTCTTTGCAATGTTTGGGAAACCATAGGATAAAACATTGTCTTTTTGTATATTAATCAGGTATTTTTAACATTTTTCCATCTTTCACTACCTCATATACATGGAATTTATTTTCTGTGCAGTGGAGTAATTAATTATTTGCTTTCTTTTTACATTTTGAGAATTACAAGCATATATATCATGTGTTAGTTTTTAATCTACCCCTACAAAATTAGCTATTTGAAATCAACAACTTTAAAAATGGTGAGACACTCACCAGAAGGGTCAATCAATTCACTAAGTGACTTGAAATGTCATTCTTATTATATACTAAGTAGGAATATACAGAAGGCATGCACAGTTGAATTTATTTTCTATTTAATGTGTCTATATTACTAAAATAGGTAGTCATGTGCCATCCAACAAGGGTGCTTTGCAGGAGCATCCTTTGCAGGCGCAGCTCTTAACCACTGCTCCATCTCTCCAACCCCTGGTAGGACAGTTTTGTGCTGGGGATTGCTTACACTGTGTCAGAGAAAGCATCTTGCACCCTCTGTTCTCTTCCTGGGCATGCACTATCGCGTATATGTAAGCTTTCCTTGTAACTGAGTGGAGGAACCATGCCATTGTATTCTGTACAGTGGTATCTGCATGGAACAGATAAGAATCATTGCCAGACATAACCATTCAAAGTATCTTCTGATTTTGGATCCCTATCCTTTGCTATCGATGGTTTAGAGACCGTAGGATACTGGTAAGTACTGTACAATAGATGTGAGTGGCCGGATAAGAGATTCCATGTTTATGCATGCTTCTGCTTTGGTGAAGGGTTCATTTGTTCCAGCAAGAAGGCTTATTTCCTCCTGACTATTGCAGCATCACCATGATTTAGAATCTTCAAATTTAGAAACAGAGCTTTCATGTCTATTCATCAAGTATTTTTTTAAGAAAATCTTTTACTGAACATTCAAATTATTTTTATCATAAGGTTTCTTTCCGTTATGGAAATATTTGCAGACTTTACAGGAGACACTCTACTTACAAGATTATAATCATATAGCTTGCATAGTTTGGATACAGGACAACAAATTTCAATTCTGATTCTGCTTCTCAGAAGCTGTGTACCCGTGACACACACACACAAACTTCCTACCCTCTCTGTACCACGTTTGCTTATATATACTGAAGTCCTTGACTTATAGAGCCACTGTACAGATTAAATGTATATGTCAAAAGAATTAATGTTTCTATTATCCTAATATTTTCCATGTCAGAAACGTTCCAGTTAGTTTTTCTATAACCATGACAGAACATTATGATCAAAATAACTTGGGGAAGAAAGGGTTTATTTAAGCTTACAACTTTGGTCATACTCGACTACCAAGGGAAGTCAGGGAGTAAACTCAAGGCAAGAATTTAGAGGCAAGAACTAAAGCAAGTGCCATGGAAGGAATGATACTGCTTAGTGGCTTGCTCCCAGTGCCTTGCTCAGCAAGTTTTCTCACATTCTACAGGACCACTTGCGCAGAGATGGCATCACTACAGTGGAATAGGCTCTTCTACATTAAGCAAAAAACAAGAAAATGCCTCCCAGACTTGGTCCCAGGTCAATCAGATGGAGGCGATCACTTAGCAAAAGCCCCTTCTTACCAGATGATTCCAGCTTTTGTCAAACTGACAGCACCACCAGCTAGGAGGAGGAATATGATCGCTTTTCACCTACACTTTCTCATCAGTCATTGTAGTTCCAGAAAAGCTATTACTAATTTTGGGGGCTTGACTTTGGTCCAATCAAACTAATTAGTTCTAATATGTCTACCAGCGTTGCCTAGGTGTATGGCCACACGCTTGAGAGTCAGGGTTATAGCAAAAGCTGGGAAATTGTTCTTTTTGTTTAAGTTATACATATTTAAATCTCTCATTTCTGCCTGTTTGAATTTTCTGCATATTCATGACTCCAACTTGGAATTTTTGTTTTCTAATGATATAATACATTTTATCAAGACTTTCATGTGTGGTACTCTAACACTATAC